AATCAATATGATTTTTGCAGAAGACTTTGCACAACTTATGCCAGTACTAGGCCAGGCCCTTTATAATGGGAATGTTGGCACATCAGTGGATGCCTCCATGTCAGAACGTGGGCAGCAATCTGCTATAGGTAAAGCACTTTGGCACCAAGTTACTACAGTTGTAATTCTACGAAAAAATATAAGACAAAATACACAATCAGTGGAAGATGCCAAGCTAAGGACAGCTCTAGAAAATATGAGATATGCAGCATGTACTGCTGATGACATTAAATTTTAAGAAGCTGTGTTGCAGGAAGGTGGCCTGATCAGCCAAAGTTGGCTGACAAACGTTTCAGAAATGTCTCTATCATTACTGCTTTGAACTCCCAGAAAGATCGAATCAATGAATTGGGTTCTGTGTGTTTTGCTGCAGATACTGGCCAAACCCTCACTGACTTTTACTCTGTGGATACACTGGGGGTTGAGTGTGATCCAGTCACTGGTAAAAAGCCTCGTGGAAGACCTAAGAAAACTGCTATATACAAAACTATCAGTCCAAAGCTTCAAAATTTACTTTGGAACTTGTGCCATTTGGCCTCTGATCATGTTCCCAGAAAACTTTCACTGTGTATTGGTATGCCAGTTACTTGTGGGTGTGGGCCAGTGCTTTGCATGGCATGTATGAGTCCTTTCTGTGGACTCTAAATTTAATATTAGGAAATTGGTCATGTAATCACTTTATGATTTTCTGAGTTTTGTTCTATATTTGCAAATAGACCCTGAGCTCTGAGCCTAGCCATCAATATCATAGCAACAATGTGTGCTATTCTTATTTTTCTTTGATTTTTTTTTTGATTTTATAGCAAATTTTCCCAATTTTATAACTATTTTTCTGTTTATGGTAAAATATTCCCACAGTCCTGTCTGCATATATCTCAGGAAAGAGGATGGTTAGTTATATTTTGTGACCTATAATAGCATGCTCTATATATTTGTGATGAATTTCCTTTTTTGGGTTAAAATTCCCACGGTATCAGAAGCACTGCCTCTCACTGAGCTCCATAAACAACAATTGTAGCCCCTTTCCTTACCTTTATAGATATATATAAATAATGTCATGCAGACCATTCCTCATTGAGAAAAACACAAAATACTGAAAAAATTGGACACTTTTTGGAAATTGTCATGCATTTTTGACGAATATCTCAAAGAGCAAGAAAGCTGGTCTCAAGATATAGTCACATTGCATAATATGACAATATTTTTACATAGTTGTCTTGATTTTCCATATTTGGATATGGACCCTGAATACTGGACACAGCCCCTTCAACACCATGGCAACAGAGAAGATCACTCTTAATTTTGGGGTATTTTTTTCTGATTTTCTGGCAACTTTTAGGTGGTTTCTATATTTAGATATTGACCCTGAACCCTGAACACAGCCTCCCCACCTTACTAAACAATATTCCGATTTTTTACATATTTTTTGCTGATTTCTTTTACCATTTTTCCTGATTTTATGGCTGCTCTTCTGTTTAAGGGAAAAGGTTCCTGCGGTGATGAAAGGTAAATGAATCAATGAATGAAAAATTTGCCTAAGTCCTCAGTTGATAAAGAATGAGTCTTACTCGTAAACTTGTAAGGACTCATAATAATACAGAATAATGATGCAACAGAATTATGTATAACAAAAGGTCAAAAAGGTCATGTTGTTGGATGGGATGCAAAGTTGGGCCCAAGTGGACAACAAATCCTTGAAACTTTGTTTGTAAAGCTTGATCGTCCTGCCAAGACAATCAAGATTGAGGGATTGCCTGAAAATGTAGTTCCATTAGTAAAGAACAGCATGTCTATTGAATGTATCTGTCCAAGTGATGTTACTCTCACTATATCCTGTTCTCAGGTATCTGTGCTACCTAACTTTGCAATGACAGACTATGCATCACAAGGAAAGACTCGTCCATTCAATGTGGTGGATTTAAATAGCTGTCGTAACCACCTATCTTACTATACTGCTCTTTCTAGAAGTGCAACATGTGAAGGAACTGTAATTGTACAAGGATTTGACCCATAAAAAATCACCTGTGGTGCATCTGGTTATCTTCGACAAGAGTTTAGAGAACTTGAGCTTCTTGATGACATTACCAACCTTAGATACAATGGCCAATTACCTGCATCAATCAATGGGCAACTGTGTAATGCTCTTTTACATCAGTATCAACAGCTCAAAGGGAAGGGGTATTGTCCACAAAACGTGATGGGGCCAATTAGATGGAGTGAAGTGTATCCAATGCAAACTTTTCAGGTGATCACTGATAGTTTATGGACACTCACCACAAAATCAACCACTCACAATGCAACTGAAGAGGTTGAGATCCAATCACAAAAGAAAAGTAAAAATGTCTCAGGTTATTTTGTTCCTACACAGGGATCAAAGGCAATTGCATCTACACTCAAAAGAAAGGCAGAAGAGGATCTAAATATTGATGAACCAAAGTCAAAGAAAATTAGAGCCAGCTTTGGACCTACACCTGACATTCCAGTTGGGATTCTTTGGGATTCGGTAAATTACAGTTGCTCATATGATTCCCATTTACTTGTGTAAGAGGGCCATTGCAAGCATGGCAGATATGAGTCCTTTTTATATTCAGGAAGCCACAATGCAGCACCACAGCATTCACATTTTTGATTATTTAGGAAACTGGTCATGTGACCACCTCCTGAAAGCTCATCAGATCTATACCCATTATATATATATATTATTGCTATTTTTTATTGGACAAATTGTATATTTCCATGTATATAAAATACTGGACCTTACAAAGAGTCCCTACCTTGAAAGTGACAATAAGTACTATGCTCCATTTTTCACTAAATTTTTCCAGTCCTTTATAGCTATTTTTAACTAGATTATTATGTATGGAATTTCTTCTGGACCCTGAACATGCTCCCCAGTATTGCACAAACAGTGAGCATCTTCCTTCAATTTCTTTCTGATTTTTCTACTATTATATTGCCATTTTTAAGTACTGAAAAAATCCTTGAGATCAGAGAGTAACAAACTAGTGTCTTTATAAACTCAGAGGACTCATAACATCATTGCTAACAATGAGCACCATATTCCAACTTTCTCTGATTTTTGTGTTATTTTCTGGCAATTGTTGAATAAATTTCCATATAAGGAAATGCACCTGAGACCCTTGAAACAGTCCTAACATCAACATCAACAGTTAGCACCATTCTTCAATTGTTTTCCATTTTTTCTGCCATTTAATTGCTATTTTTCAGTTGGACAAATGCTGAGTGCCATATACGGAAATTTACCAGAGACCCTGAGAGTGTTTTCAAATGTTGTCACCAACAGTGAGCACCATCAGCCATTTTCTTCTAATTTTTGTGCCAATTTATTGCTACTTCTTCATTTGAAAAAGCTTGCATTAGCTTGATTTTGTGCAAACATATATCTATTTGTGCACATAGCTTTTATTACATAATATACATAAAAACAAACTGTATTTTTCTTGGTGTTTTATTTCATTTATTTTAGATTTTATGTTGGTGAGCTTCAGATTCTTCTTTGAAAAAGTATGTTTATTTGGACTTTGACCTTATTACATAATATATCTCGATGAATTGTATACAGGTATGATCCCTGAAATTTTACATTTTTTCTGCATTTTATTTCATCTGAATTGGACTTGATTTGGTAAAGTTACACATTTTTCCTTAGGCAATGCTTGGAACTCAAGAAGCGATGACGCATGAACATTTCCTGATCACTTGATGGGGGACAGTTTCGTTCGTCATAGTAGATCTCAGATCAGTTACCATTTTCGGTAATAAATACAGATTCATGTATAACTCAGTGAGTTTTGATCCAAATGACATGATTTCTTTTGTGATGGGTACTCCTCATTTCCGTGGTCATGGTGATGTTATGGTAAACAAACACAAATGAACAGTTGCAAAAACAAAATAGATGATAAATTTTACATCTGATCAATGCTGATACTTAAAAGACTATTGATATACAGGTTAAACAGTCACAAATATTCACAAATAAGTGGGAGTCATTTCAATGTTGATTTTGGGATGTTATAGGGTGCACAGAATCTCTA